CGCCTCGTTGGTTCGTCGGTTTGTGCCGAGCTATGCTAAGGGACCTATAAGCGATTTTATACGCCTACACAACCTACATTGCACGATATGTATTAGTATGGCTATTTTGTATTATTCAAATTAGGCAATGATGATGGTCATATTATGAGAATGCAATCTACAATGTTTTTCTATGTTTAGGTAGGGCAATCTAGGAAGAGAATGCATTGTATTTACAATGTTAGGTGAGGCAATCCATTCATGTGATTGCAACCTACATTGCAACATCATTGTTATTTACAATGTTAGGTGAGGCAATCCATTCATGTGATTGCAACCTACATTGCAACATCATTGTTAGATGAGGCAATCCATGTATTCAATTTTAATACATGTGATTGCAACCTACATTGCAACATCATTGTTAGATGAGGCAATCCATGTATTCAATTTTAATATCTATATCTGAGCCCATACCTTGGTCCTATTATGAGTTTTTCTAATGGTTGCTAGTCTGAGCCTTGTTTATTTGAGTTGTAGCTTATTACTGAGTATGTTTTTGATGGCTTGTGAGCTTGGTCAGTTTGTTTCAATGGTCGCTTGTGAGCTTGTTGCTGAGCATGTTTGTTTCAGATTCGGTTTATTTTCTAATGGTTGCTTGTGAGCTTGTTTTGGATTGTTTCAGCACTCAGTTTATTTCAGATTCAGGTTGTTTCAGATTCAGGTTGTTTTAGATTCAGTTTGTTTCAAAATCAGTTTGTTTTCTAATAGTTGCTTGTGAGCTTGTTACTGAGCATGTTTTTGATGGGGGCATGATGATTGGTCACGTAAGGATTTGCGGCTATGATGATGGGTCCATCTTGCTTGTTTGCGGATGCTTGCTTGCTGCCTTGGTTATATGAGTTGTTGGTAATATGGCTTGCTTTTTGTTTGCGACTGCTTGCTTGTAGCCTTGATTATTTGAGCACTGAGCTTGTGTATATACTTTGATGGCTTGCATGTAGGTGAGACTCATTCTTGTATGCTTTGATGGCTTGCTTGTTTGCTTCCTGTCTTGCATACAAAAGCAGCCTTAGTTATATGAGCTGCTTGTTTTGAATTCAGGAAGGGTTTATTTTAGTTTTTGCAGTTGCTCTGAGCTTATTGTGGTTGCTTACATTGCTGGTTATATGAGCCTAAAATGTATGGTTACTCCCATTGGCGTGCATCCAACAGGAATTGAACCTACGAATTTTCCAATTATGAGTTGGGCGGTTGGTGTGTTGTGGGTTTTAAGTCCAATCTGAACTGCTTGTATACGCCGGTCCAACTCACTTGTGTGTGGACATATTTTGTTTCATTTTTTGCAGCTAGTCTGAGCTTACTTGCGGCTACCTAATGCTAGTTATATGAGTTTGTTTGCATACTTGGATGGTTATATGAGCTTGCTTGCAGCATGTTTCATTCTTGCATACTTTGATTTCAGATGCGATTATTCTTTGATGGTTTGTTTCTTTTTTTTGTTGGTTATATGTGTCTGAAAAGTATGGTTACTTGTTTGGTTTGTTTCATTTTTTGTTTCAGGTACGAGCATTCTTTGATGGCTTTCTTGTAGCCTTGGTTTGTTGTGGGTTTTAATTCCAATCTGAGCTTGTGAGCTTGCTTGCTTGTTGTGGGTTTGAATGGGTATGCTAACCCCAATTGAATACAATTGTGTTTATTTTTTTGTGGGAGGTAAGCTCACCAAAGGTTCTTATATTCACCAATTATTATTTTGGTAATCCTAAAACTTGTTTGTTACAACTATAGATTTCAAATTCTAAAATTTGTAATGCTACAATTTGAGTTTGAAACAAACAAGAGCTTACAAATTATAGCATTTCAAATCCCAAAATATTGATGAAACAATCAAAGTTTTAAAAATCCCAACCCATGTTAAAAAACCTATGGATTTCAAATCCCATGATGAAATCCATATCCTAAAATTATAGGATTTGAAACAAACACCCCCTTAATAAAAGGTATAGATAGATAAACTGTTGGATCTCTCTCACATTTTCAATGAGACTGTGTTTTAGACCCTTGTGTCCTTTCGGGCTTACTCATTGACCCCACATCTAAGTGGACAAGCATGTTTGGTCACTTTTTCTCAAGTTTTTTTTTCTGGTTTTTCGCTGTAATTATCATTGTCGTGATTGCTGTTGTTATCCTCATTACAGTTTGTGAACAATACACAAAAGCTAAACTTCAAAAAAGAAAAATAAACACATTTTATCTTATATGGATCTAAAACAATCCAATCTCTTTCAAATATTTAATGACGGGATGTGGATAGCAAAGCAATTTTTATCATGTTCTTATATCGATATAACAAATAAGCTCAAAAAACATATAGGTTTTACAAAACCTAACAGAATACTTTGACAAGATACATTATCTATGTAAGAAGTATAAATATATTTTTCCAATTTCTCCTTTAATCATATAAAACTGCCGATTATACGTTCACTTCTCTTTATCATATTTATATTTCAGGTGCTTTGCTATCTATTAGTGCTAAATTTTCAATAAGTTAATAATAATAGTAATTAACCGTGAGCTATCTTTCTAAAGCACTTTCTTAACAGTCACTAGTGGAAAAATCAATATCCTTGACGGGCTTTCCCGTCAAGGATGTCAAATTTCCCGTCAGGGATACGTATCCTTGACGGCGTCCCGTCAAGGATACGTCGTCAGGAAAAGTCCCGTCAGGGATAAAACATCCCTGACGGGGAGCCGTCAGTAATGTCTATTACTGACGGCAACATTATTGACGGCGAATGCCGTCAGTAATATTGAAACATCGCTGACGGGATTCCCGTCAGCGATGTTTCACTATCCCTGACGGCGATCCCGTCAGTGATAGACATTACTGACGACAGTTCGTCGTCGCTGTACACACGAACGCTGACGGGTTTCCCGTCAGCGATAAGTATCGCTGACGGGGAGCCGTCAGCGATGCATAAAAAATCTGGTGATTACTAAATCAATTCCCTGTACATATCATCAATTCCCTGTATATCTCATCCAATCAATTTTGACAAACAAACCATACACATGTCATAAGTTCTAAATCCATACACATCAAACCATACACATGTCACAAGTTCTAAATCCATACACATCAAATCAAACAAACCATCCAAATTCGAAATATGTACATAATATCGTCAGTAAACCATACACATCAAACCATACACAAACACGATAACTTCCAAATCCACAACAATTTTCACGACAAACCATACACATGTCATAAGTTCTAAATCCACATCAAACCATACACGCATAATCTCAACTATAAAGATGTCCACAATATTAATCAGACACGAGTTATTGATGGCCCAGTTGAGAGGTAAATGCGTATTTCACTCGTTTACTCCCCTCTTACATTTGATTTTAATATGACCTTCCTCGACAAGGAATATTCGCATCACGATCAGATACAACAAATCTGAGCTTTGATTGCTAAAAAATGAGAAAGCAAACATGCAGCGAAAAGTCAAAGGAATAACGAGTCTGTGATTTTTGCACATGTTTATGGAACTTTCAACTTTGGAGATCAGAGATTCAGATGGTTCATAAAACAGGAAGCATCCAGCTAGACCAAATAAGTTTTAGAATTAGTAGGCATATATGCCTTAACACTTGAATAGCTCTGTGAATCATACACAATGAAAACCAATGTTCAAATATTTTACACTCAGATTACTAACAAGTACTAACAATCTCAAGGGTTGAACAACCAGCGCCTTACCCTAATGATGAGAATAATGATAAGGCTAGGATGGTAGGATTGTAATAGCAAACTTATATTTCCATGAAATCAAGCAAAACCTAGTACAAGCCAAAGAAATGGGGGAGGGAGGTCTCAATAAGATGATGGAGAACTTTGGCCTTCATAGTTTGGACAAGAGAGATTCACAGCCTTGGTTTTCTCTTGTGTCGCATATTATGGAGTTGGGGAATTCTCTGTCTGGGTTTCTGCTTGTGCCAATTTAGGAAAAGGTCAGAGACTCTCTTCTTGCATTTCTGCCAGTTTCTCATCTTTTGAAAATGGTGAGTTTCTTCTAGTGTACTGTATTTTGGAGAAGGTGTGGAGCACCTTGCTCGAATCTCTGTCCATCTCTGATACTTTGGAGAAGGTGAGGGGCTCCTTGCTTGAGTTTCTGCTTGTGTCCCATATTTTGGAGATGGTGAGGAGCATCTTGCTCGAATTTTCACTAGTGGCTCATATGTTGGAGAAGTTGGATGGCTCCTCGCTTTGATTTCTATTGGCTTCAATTTCGGAGAAGATTGTAGGCTTCCTGCTTTGGTTTCTGGACGTGATTTTGGAGAAGGCGAGGAGCTCCTTATATGAAATTCTTCCTGTGTGAATATTTGAGAATTTTGAGGGCTCTTAGGCCAGGTTTCTTCCTGTATGTCATAATTTGAAGAAGGTGGGGAACTTTTTTCCTGGTTTTTTACTTGTGTAGATTTCAATGAAAATTGGGGGCCTCTTTCGTGGCTTGTTACCTGTGTAAATTTTGGAGAAGGTGGAGAGCTCATCTGCTGGATTTCTACAGGTGTCAAGCTTTGGGCATGTTGGGGGCTCCCAGCAAGAGTTTCTGCTTGTGCCTCATATATTATTATAGAAGGTAAGCGACTCTCTGTCTTGGTTTTTTCCTGTGTCTCGTGTTTTGGAGAAGGTGGGACACTCCTTGGCTGAGTTTCTGCTGCACGTGTTTCATATTTTGGGGAAGATGTCGGGCTCCCTGCTATGGGTCGTCTCTTCGCATGAGAAGAAGATGAAGGCGAGAAAGTGCCAGTTTTTAAGAAAAATTCTGGTGGATCTTCAATGTTGAGAAATTGCGGGGAAGAGTTTTTCGAGTTGTTGGAAGAGCCAGGTCTAGACAATATGGGAGAGAGTTGTCGAGGGGAAGAATGAAATAAGTGAGCTGGCAACTGGATCGGGCAGACTTCTTGGACCTCTTCAATACCTTCATCAACATACACAACATCTTGCATCGTCAGCTGATGATACTCCACGATCTCCCTCAAGAACCGATTCTCTCTTGCATAGATGGAGTTGTCATGGGCCAGCCTTCCCTTCTCTGCCAGCAGCGTCTCTAATTGGAGTCGTATCTACATCAAAGGACAAAGAGGCATGAGAAATTAAGTTCAGTAAGTCACTAAATGCATTGGCAAGTATACTTCGATAGGAGGAATGTATATATTTGAAGTCTTATATACATCAAACAAACATGATTATTATATAAATTTGATACATAAATGCATTGACATGCATATGAAGCATTATCAACCAAGCAATGTCTCTAACTGGGAGGTTTCTCTACATCAAAGAAGAATAATTGCTAGAAAAATTTGATCCGGTAGGTTAATAAATACATTGGGCACATAGCAAAGCATCAACTAATTCCGATCAGAACTATATAAAAGACAGATTAATATTAGCATGTCAAAAACAACAGATTAAATAGTAATAGTCTTTAATTTTGTATTATTTGAGTTAGCTACACAAAATATGAATGTTTCTCTATTCATCTTATTTAGGTTTAACTCCTATGACTGAACTAGATACCTTCATAACCTTAGAGCCTCAATAGAGTTAGAATTCACTCATCTTATCCGACTAACACCTTGACTCCATCAGTTAAAAGATGACTCTCTTTTGGCACAAATCCAACCACCTCAAAGTGTTATTTCTTTTTATTATCCACAAATGAGCTACCTCTAGTCCCATTAATCCACCAATTTCTCACTCAATCTCTCATACTGGAGCATCATCCTAAAAATTTAGGTTAACCTTAACCTCAATACTAATTAGAAGACACATTATTGCGCATGCTATTATTGTAATACAAATGTTGATTAGGAAAAACTCAATTAACAAAAGTATTTCACAGGTATGTTATTTAATTATTATAAAATAGAAAGATTCAATGATACTTCAAAGAAGATTTTACCTGTCATAACCGTTCATTATCCCAATCCACAGGCAAACCCTCACTACCCTGGCTAATCAAAGCCCCTACTACAAGTTTTAAATTCTGAAACTAGAGTTTCCACCTTAGGGGCTGTTTGTTTGCCCAAAAAAAATGAGAAACCCCCCCGCCATGTCACCTTTGAGGAAATCCCCCCCTGCCACCTCAGATTTTGGTTTCAACCGTTTTCCATTTCACATGTTTGTTTCATTTTGAGTTTTAAGAAAAGGGGGATGCCACGTAGGATGCCATGTCAAATTTTAAGAAATGTGTTTTCACACCAAAAACATCTGAAAATACTTGGAAATGTCACTTCTATGAATCTTTAATTAATAAAAGCACTGTTGAAATAGTATAAGAGGATAAAACAGATTATTTAAATGCTGATTTTACTGTTACTATTGCGGCTGACCTATATTTCTCTTTTTTTGTTCACAAACAAACACAAGAAATGGAAATCTATTCTACTGTTACTATTGCGGCTTTTTTTGTTTTTAGTGTGACATGGCGGTGAAATGGGGTGATTTCTTTGCGAAACAAACAGAAAAAAAGAAAACTGGGAAATGTCTTGAAATGTGATGAAAGCAAATGAAATGTGACATTTCCATTTCCGATTTTTTTCGGAAAACAACCAAACAGCCCCTTATTCAAACCCTTCTTCTAACCAAGGACCAATTATGATGACCGAGCATGCGAGATGCTGATGAGAGGCGGCGTGGTGGAGATTAGACCTACAACCAACATGCCAACATATGCATGCAGCCTGAACTCTAATATTATTATCTGAGGTATTTCCCTGGTAGAGTGCAACACCCTGCATAAGTTCATTTCCCGTTGCAGTATTTTTCCTTTTCTGAACCATTCCAGACCAAGACTCATAATTTTGAGACTCTTATCTTATAGTTCATGAAGATCTTCTTCTCAGAAGTTTTCTTGATCTAAGTATATTCAATTTACAAAGTTGGGTGAAAATTCCAAAATTATAAAATATCGACTGTGGTGTCAAAACTGTAGCTTTTCACCCGTTTGACCCAATTCCCTTTGGAATTTGACTTTGGTCAAGTTGAAGAAATTGATTGTCTCATCATTTTACGTGTTATGTTGAAAAACTCAGCAGTTTTTACCTGATGTAGAATCTGTGCAGGCTAGAAAGTCGTGACCAGTCAAGTCCACACTATTTCCAAATGATCTTTTAATAATTAATAAAAGTAGTAGAAATAAATATAGACTTAGCATATCATTTTAGTGAATTAATCATTAAGGTGATGTGCTGCCAGCCTAGTCATACGTTGCTAAGGTCGCAGGGACGTGACACGACTATGCAAATGAAAGAATGAATTACCCAATAGAGATGGCAACATCACACTATGAGTATCTAATAACTAGAAACCCAAACAATTATTTTCCCCATTAGAAGTGACGGAGATATCCAAACACACCACGACCCAGGAGTTAACTTCTAGGACGCAAACATGACAAGCAACCAAGTGATTCCAAATCAATAAATTTTGTGAGTGAATCAAGAAAGCACAGGTTACAACAACAAATGCATTAGCAAATCATCCATCAATTGTGGCCTTTAAAATTATTCTTCAAGATCCTTCCAACTTACATCTTGAAATGAAAACCAGCTCTAATTCAGATATGCCTATGACAGAACTTGGACAACAGTTCTAAAATAACTTTCAGCACCAACTGGACCAAGAGCAGATAAGGAAACTGAAGTGTCTTGGGCATTTAATAAGAATGAATAAAGAAGGTAAAAGAGAACATGAATTCTGGGTAGGTGCTATGAGAACAAAATGAGTAGGAAATTTAACCCTTAATACCTATTTCCTAATTTCTAAGCATGTAACTCATAATCTTTTGGACTATCATAAAGGTAGAAGATGCACTTGTATGTTAAAATATTACTAATGGGAGCATGCATGTGGTTTCAGGAAATGTAAATAGCATCGCAGATCTAATCTGTGAGATTTCAGCCTATTTGAATTCAACCCATTGCTGTTCATTATATAGACTCTGCATTAGGAAAAAGTATTTATCTTGGAAACTATTATTTCGTTTCATGCATAAAAGAGGAGCATACCAGATCATCATCTTCAATGGTATCTCCCTTATCACGACTTTCTCTCAATAGCTTGTTTTCACCTTCAAGCTGAGCACATCGCTCTTTTGCAAAAGCCAGGTCAGCTTTGACAGTTTTAAGTTCCCGCAGAAGAAGCTTGGCCTTGGCAGCCATTGCATTTGCAACCTATAGCATCAGCAGAAAATGTTAGCTTTACTCTTTAAAAAAAGAGTATTAAAGGAAATAAAAATTGATAACCATAATCACTTCATATAAGTGCATCGCCAAAAAAATTAAAAAAAAAGTCAGTGTGAAGTATGTCACAGAAACCAGGAAGCAAAAAAGGTAATCAAGTTAGTTAAGAGAAAACAGTGCTGGGTTGCGTAATAATTTCAGCAGGTCAATCTATCATGAAAGCTTGCTTTTTCTTTTCCTCTTTTTCCACTAGAATAGAACCATAATATACTTTGGCAACTTAGAAATTAATCCGGTTTAGTTTTAATCCGGTTTATTTTACTCTAGAATAGAACCACAATATACTTTGGCAACTTAGAAAGTAATCCGTTTTAGTTTTGATCCAGTTACACTAGTGTGTTTGGCAAACCTCCTGGGCCAGGACTAAACCTGGCATAGTTTTGGGGGTGTTTCTGTTTGGCAAAAAATTGGGTCAATGTTGGCTCAGTTTTTGTAAGTCAAAAAAGTCATCTAAACTGGTTTTATCTTGGACCACCTGGTCCAAACTAAAACCAGTTTAGAATGAAACTAGGTTAGGACTGATCCTAGCCCAGTTTTTGACATTTTGCCAAACACACCCGTTAACAGCCTAGGTTAGACTGAACTACTTTCCATGTGAAGTAGTTATGAGTTGAACTTAGTTTGGCTAATTTTTAAACAAAAATAGTCTAAAACTAAATCTTCTTTGATAAATACACATATGTATAGAGATAGGATTCCAATTTAATAATTAAATATATTTTCCTTTGTCAACTAGATGGTCACAATACATTTTTCCCTCACCACTTGTTTCTTTGGGCCAAACTTATCTGGTTCAGTCTGAGGTAAAATTGGGCCAGACGAACTGGTTTAGCCCACCTACTTTATTTACCAAAAAAGGACTAAGTTGGTGGAGTAGACTTACTCTACCAAAAACAGGTTTTAGCACTTTGGCAAAAATTAGAGTACTTCTCCCTAGACTAGTCTTATGTTACATCCAACAATGAAAGAGCAGATCAGTGAAAAGAATATGGCCTACTCAAAATTCCGACCGTTATTATTCCCAGTTTCGCCTTAGACTGTAAACTCTATGAAATACTGACATTCCAGGTCTGGAAATGATTACAAATGCATTGAAGCACTCAAGTTATGTGGTGCTTCGGATATCAAAGAAAATCCATCATGCCTGAGATATACGTACAGTTTGTTTTGTTTGTAGATGAAGATGGATCAATGCTTTGGTTTTTTGCACTCCTAAGATACTTCTGATCTTGTGAGATTTGAAAATAATTTATCAAGTTCTGACAAAAAAAAGTCATTTACCATGTTGCACGGACTTAGACATATACAACGAAATGAAACAGTGCCTGACAGTAAGGTCTAGTCTCTAGAAAATACACATGATAAACATGTCTGGTGTGCATATTGCGACTAAACACAGCTTCATGACAGAAGTGTCTGGGTTACATAGTAAAAAAAATCCAGAGACATGGCAAAGAGAACTTCAACCACCTAGACAACTGACTTCTGTTATTTATTTTTGGAAGTACAAAGTTTGTGGCCAAATTAAGTTAACTTCTGAACAAATATTGTTTCAAAGGGCATGGAAAGTCGACTTAACAGAACAGCAAAAAGGCTAAAACATGCAACCAGTATTTCTATGTAACCCAGTGATACATATTTGCCACCTTACGTCGCGTGATGCCTTCAGTTGAGTTTCGTGGTCATTTAGATCTGCATAGAGGTAACTTGAAGCTGAAAGATCAGCACACTGATTCCGTGCACTGAAACTTCCACTTTTTCTCCTGATTTGCAGCTTTCGTGTCTCTTGGATGATATTAGCTGTCCTGTTCTCCACTATAGTCATACCCTCCTAAAGAAGGGGCAAAAAACAACAAATTAATGGGATAACCTCTCTGCATAAAAGCTATAACAAGAGTCAAACTAAAAGTTTATTCACTGCTTTTGTAAAATAACAGTACAACACATACAAATTAGAAAATGTAGAAACCTGATTACACATAGAACCATTATAGACAAATGATTAAAAAACATGTAAGAAAGTGAACAGTAATTCATTTTGTCCCTGAACGATAACCTTAAACTCAGCTCATCCCAAGTTTTCATAATTGAACCTCGAAAATAATAAATGATGTCTTTTATTATGTGCTTAAAATTAATGTATGCCGCATGCAGCTCGTGTAAAACTTACTTCGAGAGCACTTTTTATTGCACCACCAATGTGCTGGTGCGAAGAATCAAGTTCTGGACCTTTGTTTACTGATAAATTATCTGTTCTCTGGTAACTATCAAGTTGATTGAACTGCAAAAAGTAGAATCCACAAAGAAGATAATTGACGACATTGAAAGAAAATTCAAATAAAGAGTACACTGTAACTCTACTGATTAACATGAGGTTAAAGATACAGGATATAGCACTATGGCAAATGCCAGTAACAAGTAAAATGTACATGATGTTACTGTTAAAATAGGTACTTTATACATTATGAAAGCAATCCAATTTAAATCAAGAGAAAACTAAATAACCCATTTTAAGATCTGCTTCTTCGCTATCACCAAACGTTCTCTGGCAATCATCACCTGATGGATAATTGGCTGTTTCCGGTGGATGTAAAAAAAATATAAGCTAGCAGATGCAGAATTTATTACTCACTTGACTACCTGCTGAGGTGTCAAACATCTGTGGATGACTCCTGCCACTGTCTTCTGATTCTTGAGAAGGATTATCATCTTCAAGTATTGATTTAGCTTTTCTAGCCAAAACCCCCCAAAAACCATACTTGGCCTCATTCAAACTTTTCATTGCTGTGTAGTCATAGGTTGCAGCATCCTGCATTTGGAGTCCACTATAGGTTACGAAACAATACACATCAAAGTTATGTAACATATATGCAAGAACAATAATGTGCAGTACATTATTGCAAAATCCAGAATAAAACTAATTGGCAAGCTTCTTAAATAAACTGCTAGTTGAAACATCAGGCTCAAATAATAAGATAGGGAAGGAAATCAAAGCATAAAAAATGACTTTCATACAACTATCTACCTTCTGCTTCTTTATTTTGTCTGGTAAAATAGTAAGATAAATTTATATAATATGAAAATTATTTCGAGTCATTCAGTAACATGCTTCTTTTATAATTTGGATACCAAATTGAATAAAATGGTAAAAAGGACAGGCAATGTTTCTATTTCTATGCAATTGAATTAATGGCCCGTTTGGGTACTAGCATTTCATTTGAATTCATGGAATTGAACTTGTTCTTGTGTTTGGTATTAAAAAAAAAACATTTGAGATTGTGGAATTGGCTCAATTCTGCTTAGATTTTAACACTGCAGGGAATCGAGATTTAGAAATTACCACTAAAATGGCATCATTTTCTGATTCTGATCTCTCAACTCTTCCTCGATTTGTCCCTCTTTGTCTTTGCTACAGTTCACTTAAAATCTTAACATTACATCCCAATCCTCAAAGGTTTGAAAATCACAAAAGCAACCTCTCAAATTGAAAAAATTTGTATACAACCTTTTAGACATCCAAAAATCACAAACCTCACCCATAAATGTGAAAATGGCAAATAGTCCCCTGAAAATCTAGAATTACAAAAATTACTCTAAAATACAAATGGACCCCTAAAAATTTGAAAGTACAAATAGTCAACTGAAAAATATGAGAATTACAAGAAGTGCCCTTAAACATAAAAAATTACAAAAAATTACCCTGAAAAACTGGAAAATTATGGCCCCCCTGAAAAATCTGACATTATAGATCATACTCTGAAAAATTAATGCTACAAACCTTGTGAGAACTAAAAAAAACACCCTAAAATTTTCAAAATTACAAAATACGCCCTAAAAAATTCAAAAACAAAAAACAGCCATAAAAACTTAAATTTATGTACAGCCCCTGAAAAATCTGAACTTACATACAAAGCCGTGAAAATCTTAAAATCACAAAAAATACCCTCAAAGTTTGAAAAATTCAAAAAACACCCTGAAAACTGGATTTTACGAACAGACCCCTAAAATATGAACTACAAATAGCATGCTGAAAATTCAAAAATTATAAATAGCCCCTCCAAATCTGTAAATTACAATAAACACCTGAAAAAGATGACATTTATGAACATCCTAAGAAAATGCAAACAACGCCCTAGGAAGCTAGAAGGAAGAACAACCCTTTGAAATCTGAAAATGCCAAAAAAAATATTAAATTTGGAGCTGAAAATTCTAGAATTGAAATTCTAAATATTCCCAAACAATGGATTTTAAAAATTATGAAATGTGTCAAGATGATACTAGAAACCAGTGGCATTTACCAACATCAAATCGACATATAACCATCCCCATTTTGAAAAGTGTGAAATGTAGCATGTCAGAGTAACAAATTGGTTTTTCTAATGATTAAAAAATAAGAGCCCTTTTTTTCATTGCATGTCCAGAAGGATATTGTTTGTTTTCTAATATATATATACATATAACAATTTGGAAGGACTTGAAAGGATATTCCAAGATTCTGAAAAGAAAGCCAACTGAAAGTGAAATGAAAGAGATGCTTGTTGCTCATTTTCTCGTATGTTTCTCATTTTATCTATCCATTTTTTAGCTTGAAAGCATTTGAGGGTTGCATGGTTGCATGATACATATGCTTAGACTGTCTATCTTTCAGTTTAGCCCTTTTCATGGAAAAGCACTGTGCATGGAAAAGCATTGTACTACTATAATAGTCCATCCACAAACAATTTCATACTGGCAGCACTAGTCGGTATAAAATTAACAGTTCCCTCAGATATTTGAACAAACCTTAGGGAACTTGTCAACTTTGTCACCTGAGTGATAGCTGAGATCATTTCAAATAACTCTTTAATAAATTCAATTTTGGAAGAATCAACCTAGAAATGAAGGGGCATGCCAAACGAAAAGCGGATAATGTGAAGTATTAGGAATTTAAAGACTGTGATTACATTCTTCCAAAACTTCCCCAAAAGAACGTCCATAGCATAAATGCTAATAACATATGGATTAATCGTTATTATCTCTAAAGTCCACTAGGCATTACCTGGCTATGAAGTTCTAGGCATGTCATCATCAAGAAAAGAGTGTTTGTACATGCATCTGTAGCTAGGTTGAGCTTTATGAACTAGCCAGATACAATATTTCTTTCCAAAATGCAATCAATATATAGTGTATAAGAAAACATTTAACGTTCCACAGATAAAAACAACAAATTGACTTACATGTTAGGACAATATCAGATGGTTAAGAAGGGAATCATGAGATTAAAATAAATAAGTTCCAATGGAAAATCTACTAAAGATGGGATCAAACTGAATTCAGGGTAAAAATTGATTCAAAATCCTATCTATTATTGATTTAAATAAAAGAAACTCCAGGCATTCGAAGGATAAAATAATCCAAGATGTTAGTGCCAAAAATAATCCCAAGAAACAAATATGAAAAAGTACTCTTTACACACTAGTTAGTCCTCTGCTCATTTTTAAACATAATTCAAGGTTAACTTACACGTATTAAGAGAACTGATTAAAGTTGTTTCCCAACTAAGGCAAGACTAGTTACACTATAGCCTCTTGAGTTCCCAACCGCATTTATTTATTTTTCAAATTTCTTTATTGCCACTGCGTATCAAAGATAGGAAGAAGGTTAACAGTGGACCCAATGAGGTGTCTTCTTTTTTACAAAAAAGGAGTTGCTGAAGAATCATTAAAACTAAGCTAATAAAACATATCAAAACATGGAAGAATAATTGAAAGTAAATCATCATCAATGAAAATTAGAGTGTGATTGGCTAGCTAAACTTTGTTCAATTAGGTCAGAACTGAGTTTTCAAATGAGAGATAAATATATATGTGCGTGCGTGTATGAGGAACCTGGTACCAAACATAAGTTTTTTGTGTTCGATAGTGAGACGGCTCATTTGTGAACATGACGTGAAGAGATCACGTGAAATAAAGTTCGTAGGGTCCACGTGATTTACAAGAGCAGTTTTCATGAAGTTGCGTGTGTTGGCCCACCCGACTTGTTTCTGCGTGACCCGATTGCTTGCAGCCTATAAAAGCCTAGTTCTAGGGTTTCGGGATAAGTGCAAGCAAAGGAAAAGAACAGGGGGATCAGAGACTTTAGCGGTTGTGCTTGGGCGTGCAAGAGTAGAGCAAAGAAGGTGCAAGGCAGAGATTTTGGCGGCTATTCACAGAGAAAAAGCAAAGTCTTTTTGCAGCTGTTCTTTGATTTGTGCATCCCTTTGAGAGAGTATTAGTGTGAGGGTTTAGATTGTGTGATTGTAAACCCTAGTTGTATTCTCTTCCTCTAATAATATATCTCTCCCCTTCTTGCCCCGTAGACGTAGGCAATTTGCCAAACCATGTAAAATAGTTTGTCTTGCTGTGATTTGTAATAGCTTGTAGGTTCCCTCGACAAGTCAGTCCTAGAACTGATGAGAGGAAGAGCTGATATCTCACTTTGTTGAGAAATTTTGCTTTCGGTTCTAGTTTCCTTTGTAAAACAGGAATTTAGTTGTGATCTAATCTCTTGTTGTGCACCTTGCGCACCGGAGGTGCTGCCGAAATTTTCGCTACGCACAACAAATGGTATCAGAGCTTCAGATTTGGCTTGAGGCTTGTTCGAAGAATTCGATAAAGGATTCCTATCTAAAGAGTTAGATCGATAACATGGGAGAAGCAAGCACATCAGGTTTGTCTCTTACGAAGGCGATACAGAGTCTGAGTATCAATTACACGAAAATTGATGTTCCGAAGTTCGACGGTAAGATTAATTTCGGATTGTGGAGGTGTCAGGTGATGGACGTCTTGGATGCACAGAATTTGGAGGAGACTCTTGAGTTACAAGAGAAACCCGAAGACATGGAGGACAAGGTTTGGAAGAAGATGAACAGTAAGGCTTGTGGAGTTATTCGGTCATACTTGACGTTGGATCTTATTTATGACGTAATGAACGAAACGTCAGCGAAGAGAATGTGGGAAACACTCAATGAGAAGTATCTTACGAAAAGCATTAAGAATCGGCTTCACTTGAAGAAGAGGTTTTACCAATTCAAGATGAAGAGGGGAGTTTCCGTCAGGGAGCATGTCAACAATTTTACAAAGCTACTTTCATATATGACCAATGTGGATATCATTATTGAAGATGAAGAAATATGATGTTACTTTCGTGTTCGTTGTCCAAGGATGATTACGGTACGTTCGTTCTCACTATGATCAATGAAAGAAATATGATGTTACTTTTGTGTTAGCTATAAGGAGGTGACCTCAGCTTTAGTGAATTATGAGTTCAGGAAGAGTGATGGTTCACCCTTCGAGAAGGCATCAGGAGATACATTAGCAGTTCGAGGTCGTGATCCAAACCGCCGCCAGTTCAACCGTTCAAAATCAAAGAATAGAGGTGACCATAAGAGTATTGGTAGGAATCAATGTTGTTTTTGTAAAGAAGAGAGACATTGAAAGATCGACTGCCCAAAGTTGAAGGACAAAGCCGGGAAGAACAAGGGGAAAGCTGTACAAGATTCAGAAATGAATGTTACAAAAGTTATTGATGAACATCCAGAGTCAGATTCTTCAGGCTATTCATGCTCCGCACTACCATCGGGAGAAGGTGCGATGTATGATGACGCAGAGTGGATTGCCTAGATCCTTTTGAGCCGAGGCGTTGGTTTATACGAGCCATCTCGTGAATAGGTTGCTGTGCACTGCGATACAGGGGAAGACTCCGATGGAACATTGGTCTGGTTTGGTGGCTAGTGACTATGAGTCGCTTCGGATATTTAGGTGTCTAGCTTATTATCATGTCAGTGATGGTAAATTAAATTCGAGAGCGAGAAAAGCAGTCTTTGTTGGATTTAGAGAATGTGTTAAAGGCTTTAAATTATGGAATCCACAGGACAAAAAAATAGTTATTAGCAGAAATATCATATTTGATGAGACGTACATGATGAGACCTCAAGTCCCTCAGCAGATGGAGAGAGACCAGACGATTGGGATATCGCAGCAGGTGAAGGATGATGTGACTCCATCCACTCCAGATAGTATTATATCCATTGAAGCTCCTACAGAGATAATACTGGGAGGAGATGGGATGACAGCCGGGCATTTAGAGGATATAGTGGATGTTCGGACTCAGGAACATGGTCATGTTCAGGAGTCCATTGCAGCTAATAGACCAAGAAGAAACATTCGTCTGTCAGCTAGATATGACGATGTCATGGTTACATATGCTTTATCAGCAGAAATCGTTGATGATTTGGTTCCTTCTACATTCAAGGAAGCAGAGTCAAGCTCTGATTCGATTAGGTGGAGGGAAGCCATAGAGGAGGAGATGCAGTCTCTTTATAAAAACGATACTTGGGAACTTGCAAAGCTACCGAAAGGTAAGAAGGTTATTGGATGCAAGTTGGTGTAC